ACCTCGGCAGGTGATGACCTTGATTTAAGTTAACGTCGGTAAGTGTAGGTCACTTCGGTCTTCGGTAGTTCGGACCGGTTCATTGCGTGGACTGGTGAGGCTTCGGATCACGTCGGTTCAATAGTTAATTTCACTTAACATGATGCTTGAAACTTCTTAATGGTGTTTTGCCGAGTCGGATGATAACAAGCCTCATTTTGGGTTTCCTCGCGTCTGTTAGACTTTTGTTGGTTTCCCCATGGCAGGATCTTCTTCCTCGATTCAGGACGATGAGCTCTCTCAGAGGATGGATAACTTCTCCCTCTCAGGAAAAGAAGCCCTTCTCGTGGATATAGCTAATCAAGACATTCGGGTGAGCGCCGAGGAATGTCACCGGAGCTTATTCGGGAAAATAGTAGGTGATAAACCTGCTAGCTGGATTGGAATAAAGAGGTTAATGAATCAAATTTGCAGGCTATCCCAGCTAATGGAGGTCAAGGAACTGGAGCCGAATTATTTTCAGTTTATCTTTCAGTCCAAAGAAGATTTTAAGAGAGTCAGTTATGGCACGAACTGAACTTTCGAAAATCAATATTGAATCCTCAGTGAATGGAAAAACGGGCTGAACAGCAAACATCAATGTTTCCAGGAACATAACTTACGGGTTCAGGTCATCAACATTCCTTTGAATTGGCTTAGTACGGAGGTTGGAATCAAAATAGGGAAAGTCTTCAAAGGAGTTGACAATGTGGTCATCACAAACTATGGAAACCATGGGGGTAAGTTCTTGCGCTTGCTGGTTTCATTAGATCTTACAGAACCATTTCCAAGGTGCACTAAACTAAGACTCGGTGATGATGTGGTAAAAATCAGTTTTAAGTATGAAAAACTGAGAAATTTGTGTCATTATTGCGGTCACATTGGGCACTTAGAAAAGGGATGCCTGAAGAAAGTCCAGGACATCAAATCTGGTAATCTCAAGGAGGGCCAATATGGTGATTGGCTCAAGGTGCCTGAAGGGCAGTTTTGGGCTAATACCAACATCCACAACTCTGGTTCAAGAAGTCCTCAGCGCAGCCCACGCAACTCTCAACAGCCATCTTCCTCAGAGCATTCATCCCATCATCAGGCAATGGCTAGTCAAGCTTCCCTCAGAAACCAACTTATCATTCACTCTGCAGATTCTAACCTCAATATCATATCCTCAACTAATGATTCTCCTCCCAGCCCACCCGTTGTGTCCCCAACACCACCAGAAACCATGAAACCAGTACCAGAAATCATGAAACCAGTACCCATCAGAGAAGAAGCTAGAAAGGAAATGGAGATTGACAACAGAATTCTCCCATTGTCTTTGATCAGCTCTTCTAAAGCTACAAAGAAAGGGAAGGGCAAATTGACAACTTGGAAAAGAGCTGAGGCAAAAGAGGGCAGGCTTCTAAGACAAGAGGAGTCTCCTTCTACATCAGAGGCTCTTTCAATTGGCAAGAGAGGCAGATCAGAAACTCTTGATGATCCTGTTGAGGATGAAGATATTGCATTAGCAGGCTCTTCAAGCAAAAAGGCAAAAGCAACTGAGGTAAAGGTGGGGGTGGCCAGCCTTGATTGGCACCCAGGTTCCCAATGTTAGCTGTGGTGTGGAACTGTAGAGGGCTAGGTGGGCCCTCTACAGTTTCCCAAATCAGAGGGATTATCAGGTCCCATCACCCAACCTTTATTTTTCTTTCAGAAACAAAAAAAAAAAAATGTTTTGTTAAATCAGTTAGTAGGAAATTAGGCTTTGAGGATCGATTTTCTCTTGTTGACCCTCAAGGCTTAAGTGGAGGTCTTTTGTTACTTTGGGATTCTTCAGTTACTATTTTGAGTATTCAAACAGCTCCATTCTATATTGCAGTTCATTTTCACCTAGCTAATTCAGATCCCCAATGGGGAATATTTGTTTATATGAGTACCATCAGAGCTACCAGGTCTTTACAGTGGGCTATCCTTGAGGATGCTAAGGTTAATTGGGGAAACCTCTGGTTTATAGCTACAGATTGGAATGACCTGTGCTCCAGTGTTGAAAAATGTGGGGGCAATCCCAGACCATTGAGCAGTTTTGTGGGCTTCAATCTTTCATAGGTAACATGGACATGGAGAAAATTAAGATGTTGGGTCATCTATTTACCTGGTGTAATAACAGAGCTTCTAAAGGACTAGTGGAAGAAAAGCTTGACAGATCTTTTGGCTCCTTGGACTGGCTTTAGAAATTCCCTAATGCCTTAGTGATGAACAAAGCTACTAGCTCATCAGATCACTCTATTCTTCTATTGGATGCTGGCCTCCCAAAAAACAGGAAACTCAAGAGGTTCCACTTTGATAAGAGATGGGTGATGATGGAAGGATTTCAGGAAGTGGTGCAGTCAGCTTGGCACATTCAAGTCTCTGGAACACCATTTTTCCAACTGAAAGAGAAAGTCAAGAATACTAGAGTTGCTCTCTTAATCTCGAGTTCCAAATTCCATACGCAGAATCGACTCAAAATTGCAACTCTCTCTAAGAAGCTGGATGAGTTATGAGATCAACAGATTTCCAACCATTGGGAGGACTAGAATGCTACCAGAGTTGAACTTGATAATGCCCATAAACATGAAGAGCTTTACTGGAACCAGAAGGTAAGAATGAACTGGCTCAAGCATGGAGATTGCAATTCTAAATTCTTCCATGCTTGTCTCTTCTAGAGGAGAAGAGCTCACATCTAGGCAAGCCATCCATGCTCATATTACTAAATTCTACTCATCTCTCTTTTTTTCTGAAGGCTCTTGGGGAGGAGATTCAGTGCTACATTTAATTCCCCAAACCATCACCTCAGAAATGAACTCAGCCCTGCTGGTACCAGTTGAAGAAGAGGAAATCAAGGCTGCTCTCTTTTCTCTTCCCTCAGACAAATCTCCTGGGGAGGATGGCATGAGTGCCTTTTTTCTATCAACACCTATGGTCTCTCATCCACAAGAAATTTGTTGTTGCAGTTCTTAGCTTCTTCAGCTCATGTCAGATTTTGCATTACTGGAATCACACCATCATGTCCTTAATTCCTAAATGTGCTTCCCCAGACTCTCTGAGTCATTTCAGACCAATCAGCTTATGTTCAGTGGTGTACAAAGTGATTTCTAAGGTTCTTGCTCAAATATTACAGTCCTGCCTAGAAGGATGTATCAGTAGCCACCAATCAGCATTCATTAAAGGAAGACAGCTTCTTGATAATGTCATCGTGGCTCAGGAAGCTTTTCACTTTCTAAACAGACACTCTTCAGGTAAGAACTTTTTCATGGCCCTTAAGCTTGACCTCATGAAAGCTTTTGATATGGTGGAATGGCTTGGTGTTAAGAAGATTATGATTTAGATGGGGTTTTGATATGGTCGTTAGTAGTGGCTCGTGAGGAACCGGTTGTGATCCGGTCATCATTGTCCATATGAAGGGGACCAGTTAAGCATTATGGTAGTCGGCGGTTGGGAGTGCTCGGCGTCGCACGGTGTTCGGCGCCCCTCAAGTGCTCGGCATTGGAGGTGGTCGGGATGGAGTGTCTGGCGCGGCATCGTCCGGTATGATGAGTTCCCGGCGTAGGGTGAATGTTCGGCGTGGGCGAGTGCCCGGTGTGGGAGAGTGCTCGGCCAAGGGAGGTGCCCGGCGGCCCTCGTGTGTTTGGCGGCCCTCGCATGCCGTCGAAGGGGCTAGAACCTGAAAATGGCTTCGAGATCAAGTTACAAA